TATATATATATATATATATATAGACCATGGGCTAAAAAAACAAAAATGTACCAAATCTTTTTATCTCACAATTCAGACTTTCCTCTGACTCAAAATTGTGAGATATAAATACAGATTTGCAAAGCATAAACTCATAAAAAAAAAGAAAGTAGAATTGTGAAATATAAAGTCGCAATTACCTTTCCTATTTTTTTATTCCTTGGCAGAAACAAAATACCATAAAATGCAACTGATCAGCAACCTGATTTTCACTGTTAAAAAAATTCAAAATGAAAATAAATCTATATATTTAATTATTTTCATATTATTTTCCACTCTAGTCGTCTGTCTGTACACCACAGTCTACATCCCACAGTTCCATGTAGGAAAAGACTGAACTCATGCCCACAGTGACTAATTTCTTCTTATTTAGTGAAGATGCAGCGTGGAGAGGTTCAGGTTCAGGCCTGAGTGCTTTCACTGAGCTGCTGAATGCGTTCTGCCAGCTGCAGACAGTGTAAGATCCTGCTCCTCTCCTCCTGGAGCTCGGCGGCAGACACTTCACCCTGCAGCTTCCGGCCGAACAGCACCAGATCCTGCATGAACAGACTGACCGGCTCCCGCTGACCTGCAGGAAGCTTCGTGATGGTGGCGTCCTGGAAGCGAAAGTGTATGTGTTTGGCTCTGCCCAGTCCTGGACCCCGCTCTTCAATCCAAGTTAGAGGCCTGTGTCAGAAAGATCTCTGATTAACTTGTGATTTTTGTGTCACAGGTGATAAAATAAATAAATAAATAAATACAAATATCAGACTTATATTTATTCATTTGTTATCAAGTAAAAACCTTGGTGAGCAGTTTTACTTCAAAGAATATAAATTCATTTCATTAAGTACAATCATTTACATTTTAACTTAACATCTTTGTGGTCATGACCATATTGTTCAGCTATGAAATTTAGGAAATTGTGTGTATATATATATATATATATATAACTTCAAATTTTTGTCTGCCTTTATTTCATAGTATCCTGTATATATATTACTGTTGTGTTTAGCGACGTGTCTGGTCCAGCTTAACATGAGTCATGATGATGATGATGATGCACACGAGTACTTCCGTTCTCAGACATTCCAGAGATGTTTCAACTAGACCAGATCCAAAATCAGTTGCTCTTTGAAACTCCCCATTTTGCTTTCTTCCAAGTAAACAATGTATCATTATTTTCGAGATTTAATGTTAAACTTATAATTTATTTGAAGCTATTTTTGTATCAGAAATCAAAATTGTCCAATGTGGAACAAGAAGTGCTGTTTCAGCCAGGCTGATTTTAATGCATAGTTGCAATTGACTGCATACGTGTGCGAGACACTTTCCAAATGTATAGTTCTCGTCAGTTTGTTAGTTCATTTCTGTGGATCAGTGCACATGACAGTGTTGCAATCACCTTACCACAACTTCTATAAAAAAAAATGGCCCTGCCCTTGTCAACTAACTGACATTAGAACTGACTTTTTTGTGAATAAACTTTGAAACTGAAAAAGTTGTATATGATCAATATTTTACTTTTGAGAAGGGTGTTTTATAAATGCTGGATTTCATCTAAGTCATATTTTAACTCGAAAGCTAAAAAAAAAAAAAAATGGTAACGATACAATAAGGTTCAGTTTTTAGCAGTGGTTAATGCATTAGGTATCGTGAACTAACAATGAACAAGAATTTTAACAGCTTTTATCAAAGCGGTTATTTGTTATTAGCATGTTAAGTAGTTAATTTTTTTATATTGTGTAATTATATTGTTCATAATAAATTAACTAATTTATATAACTTTAAACTAAAAATTGTCTTAGTATATGTGCAAATTAATTAAAATAAATTGATTAAGAAAAGTTCATAATACTTAAATTAGTCAACTTTATTGTAAAGTGTTACTGGAAAAAATGTTTTGCGTAAATTTTTTTTAACCTTTTTTAGCTTCAGTTTAAGAAAATTAAGCATATACACCTAACAGATTTCTGTAACATTGTAATGCAAAAAAATAAATCTTATATTTTAATAATTTCAATTATTCAACAAAATACAAACCATGGTAGTAGTGCTATTTTACTAAATTTAAGTAGTTCATGGACAGGATGTTTTTTTTTGTTTGTTTTTTTCTGCAATGTGATAATTTTACATGGCCATGTTTAAAAAAAAAATCAGGTTATCAGACTTCTGATTTGCACTTAATATGTTAATGTGCGGATTCAGCTGCAGAAAACAAATTCCATAAAGCAGGCACAATTTGTTTATTAACTGAAAACACAAATATGTAAACATGAAGACAAATGTAAACACTGCATATTAGTTAGACAAAACATTTCTTTCCCTCTCTGTATGCTTCCCTGACAATATGTGCATTTTAATTGCGATTATGATCTGCTTCATTCAGTGCTTTCCCAGAGAGAGCACGGACAGGAAAGAATGACAGAATGACACCACAGCATGAATGATAAGAAAATCTCTGAGTTTGCTCAAAGCATGTATGAACACTTACAGAGCTTATCCAGTTTTCACAGAAATATAAAATGTCAACAGAGTAACTTGATGCTAATATGTTAATGACATGATGTATCAAACCAAACAACAGTCCATAAATATTTTACAGTGCTCTGGAGGTTCATTTGTCTGAAATTTGGAGCAAATGTGCTGCACCAGTCAGTGTTTGAGTCACATCCTAAATACTAACTCATCTACAAAACTGTAAAAAAGTAGTCAGCAGAAATCATCCCTTTTTGTCGAATAACAAATTAGCAATAACTAGAGTTATGAGTTACACGATACAATAAAGGAATGAGCTGTTACTGCATATACTGATGTGGCCCACTAGTTACATATACACAGAACTATTAATTACATTTACAAATTAAAAACTTTAAACTTTATGCTGATAGAATTAGATTACACGTTTTTAATCACTTCAATTTTCAAGACTGGAAAAAAAAACAGAAACTCACCCTTCTCCTGAGCCAGATTCCACAGATCCACTGCAGACTCGTAGCTGAGGGTTACGGGATACTCAACACACACATGCTTTCCCGCCTCCAGAAACTGCCTGAGATTGAGCAGATCAGGGAGAGATGATCATTTCTGCCACGTGTGAGGAGGAAGTGATTATGTGTGTGAGGAGGAAGTCGGTGTGTCACCTGATTTGCTCTTCATGGCTGGTGTTTTCCGTGCATATGAACGCCACATGGATGTCATCTCTGCTCAACGGCTCCGTCATCGAGATCTGCTTCACACCCTGCTGGTCTTCAAGACTCCTCCTACACAAACACAAAACACCAGCAGAACTTTAGACCGATTCAAATATATATGAAACATAAGAAAAGCTGAAATATTTCTAATTATTTATCTTGAAAATGAAACATGACTATGTCCTGAGAAAAAAATAAAAATCTAAGATAGAAAAAAATCTTTTTGAAAATAGGCCTCTACATTTGTTAATCATTTTAAGTAATTATAATATATAATAATAATATATAACAAGTTCAATTGTGAACATTTATAAAATATATGTTAGTGCTGTCAAATGATTACACAATTTAAAATAATTGCTTTTAATTTTAAGAACTGTTTTCTACTTTTAAATATTGACAAAGTCATATCAGTCAACCGCTAGTACTGATGTATGTGGGTCAAAGACGTTAAGATGTCCGCATCAAAAGAAATGTACAAAAGGTCGGAAAAACAAAAACAAAATTGCAATTAAATTAAACAGAAAACTTTTTTAATTTTTTGGGGAAAAACAACAACAATTTAAAGCAGTATTACACTTATTGTTTTTATGCTTAAACCCTTTTTCGTCTTTGACCCATGTACATATGATGAATAAAACTTTCAATTTGAACCTTTCGAAATGAGGACTCGAAAACATGTTTTAAGTGCAGGCATCTATTCTGACAATTATTTCGACATGGTTCATGTGTGTACATGTACAGATTACTACTGAAACTGCACACTAAGAACAGCACAGTAAATATTTGCCATATGACATGAAATGAGTCCACAGAGAGCTTATCTTATGTTCTGTGAAGTCAAAAGAAACAAACCTGTAACATATGTGTGTTAAGCCAATCAGATTTAATTCATGGAACAAATCAAGTGTCTGTATGATGCACTGACCTGGACACAAAGCCCTTGATGCTGAACTTCTCAGCAGCGCTGGACGGCAGAGGAGCGAGTAAATCTCTCATTCGCACACATCCTGCGATGCCTATACCAATAACCACTGATCCCAACATGATTCCTGCAGGAACACAACATTCATCAGCAGAAAATCAGCATTAGTGATCAGCATAAGTGAGAAATTGTTCTGAACTTAATTTCAGTTCTGTATGGCATAATGCAAATGCAGCAGCTATGGAAAAGTTTAAAACAAACATGGAGAGGATTGATCTACATCTACACTGTCCCGGTCCAAAGACAATACAAAGACACTATGATGAAAGAGCAGCACATTTCTGAGGAACTGGTTTGAGAAGCTTGCTGAACTGGAGTTCTTGGTGTGTCTGCACGTGTGTCTGTCTTATAAAGGCTTGTTTAATAAGCTGTAACCAGAGATCGAGTCACACATAATTAAAAAATAAAATAAAATTTACTTTATACTTGACTTGGACAACTACAGTGTTGTCTCTGAAATTTGCATAAACAAATCCTGGTTATATTAGTTACCTGTATACTGGGAAAATGGAAGGCATAAAAAAAAAACATTTGCAAAAGTGGTTTAGCATTTTTGATTTGTGCAGTCACTTGTGCAGTGAATAATTAATAATTACTAATTCATTAATTTCATGCTTTTAAAAATAAAATGATCTTTTGATTCAAGTTAAACATCACAATCTTTCCTTTAATAACATTTAGTCTGTCGTGATGGTAATGACGGCAGAATTGAAGACAGTAAATAATATTTAAAAATTACAAACTATATGTAATCGTGTTTATAATTGTTTTTATTTTCCCATGACATAATGAATGACAAAAAGGATCTCCTAATCGTAAAAAAAGGCTTGCAAAATACTGACAATGCATGGCTGTTTCCCCTTTTATTACTTTTACTTTTAGGATTAGTAGGAAAGAGAAGAAATAAAAAGCGATACGTATTATTAATGTGCTTTAATACGCGTGTTAATTAAATCACCAAAAGCGTCACTTTAACTAAATGCATCTGCATCGCCCGTAATAAAAGACACGCAAATGAGAGATTACACAACGAATAATGTTCATTCTTCTATAAGAGCAAGATAGAAATGTCCTCACCTCTGAATGTCCGCAAAGAGCCTTCGGTGTGGATCTCTAACGAATCTGCAGGGAAGTAATAGGGATAAATGACATTATATAGTCTGACTCCGGAAAGAACTTTCATAAGAACTTTCATAACTCTTTTTTTTTTCCCCCTTTCATAACTCTTTTTCGTAACCCGGCGTGCGTGCGTGCGTGCGTCTGACGTCACGCGCAAATAATCAACTTCTCTAAAAGATCAAGAGTTAAAAACTGTGAATCTTTTTAAAGGGTACATTATTTTCTTGCTCCCTGGCATGTAGTATATTAATGTCATTCTGTGTTTCATTTATTTAAAAAAAATAAAAATAAAATAAAAAAAAGATCAAGAGTTATTAACCTAACATTACTACTTTACATTGATATCTTTATCATTTATATGAATAAAACCATATAATATATAAACCGCGGACTGAATGTTTACAATGTGTTTTCAGATTATATTCATCGATGTTTGAATAAAGTTTTTTCGAAATAAAACGAACATGGCCGCTTTCATAGCGCGCTGCTTTTAGTGACTTAAAACAAAGTCCCTTTAGGCTTTGCTTGTAAAATAAATAATAGATGTGACGGTGAGTTATTATTATGAACGGACCTTGAAATCGATGAATGAATTAATTAGGGCTCAATTCTGTGAAATTAAGGGTGTTCTTCTGACAATAAATCTTGCGATAGTAATCTTTAAATATGTCTTTATTTATATTTATTTGTAAACCACTAATTTAAACACATGCAATAGTCGTAACGTGTTAAAGCAAATCTGATCATAGGCTACTATTGTAGAAGCAGTCACATAAATAAGTCAAAAGAATAATAACCTAATTCTGTTTGACTTTACAACTTCAAATGTGTGCAAAACTTGAAAATACCGTTTGTAATACCAACACTGGGATCTAAGGATCGTCTAGTACCATTATAGTTACTAAACTTTACCAGTAGGTGTCAGTAAAATCGTATTATTCAGTAACCCTAAAAAAATTTAATTATTTCTCAAAAAACAAACAAACAATCATTTAATTTTGTGAGAAATTTCAAAAGATGCAGCCTATACAGAAAACAAGTGCATTTTGTCAAAGTACCATAGTCATATTAAGTTAGACAAGTCAATTGTGTGCCCATTTTTTTAATCCTTTCTCTTAAATTTTCTTTGCTGGAAATAAAACTACATGAAGATTTTGCTTGAAATATGATTGGTTGATCTTTTAGGTCATGTACTGAAAGATTTCCCTTGGTACTTCCTAAGTCAACTTTTTTGAAATGACAAATTTAAACCATGCTCAGTTCATTATAACCATTAAGTATCATAAATCTACATTCAGAGGAGTGAGCAGACTTCATCCACAGAAACACGGTGACCCAGTTTAGCCACTCTCTGATCCACATCTCCTCTCATTATTATTATTATTTTTTTTTTTGGCTGAAAGATTGAGGCTAGAGAACCATAAGAACCCAAAATGTTTTAAATAAAAAGAATGTTTAAAACACTTAAAGCTATACTACTACTGCTGCTACTGCTACTACTACTACTAATAATAATAACAATTAGTGCAATATTATTGCATTTAGTAGGCTACTATCTGTTTTGTTTCCATTAGAATCTGTTTTGAATCTGACAAAACCTGATCCAGACCGAGTTGGGGTTTCATGTCTCAAACTTTCCTCCTTCTCTCATGCCCATCAAAAATCCCACTGTTATCCCCCAAAACCACCCGCTCCTGCTCCAGAAATATCCTCATATTCCACAGAGCTCTGGGGACCATCTGTCTTCACTTTCCTCTGCCAAAACATCCATGCATATACTTCCTCCAATCTGTTTTCATCTGATTTTGCAATATATTTTATTTTAGCCAATGACATGTATAAATCCTTCATTAAATGACATCAAGTTTTTCATATTTGATGTATTTATTTTGCAGATTAGATGGCCGTAGAGACATGTGCTGGCTTGGTTTTGGCACATTTCAGATGGCTTGAGGTTTTCTTGAATATTACAGGAATTACAAAATTATGAGAAGGGAGACTAAATTGGGTAAATAGAGGGACCAGGGAAAGAAATTGCATTAACATTTACTAAAACACTATACATTTTTATTTTTTTTTCTCCTAAATGTTCAGTATTTATGAATGAAATGCATTAAACTAGCGAAACCCCTTTATTTAAATGCAATGTACCTTTACGAAAAAGAAGTTTATTCAAGTGTGCTATTAGTATACTTCTTTTAAACTAAAAATAGGAAAGTATACTTTTAGTCTACTTTTTATGTACTTCTCAGAAATATACTTAAAATGACATTTAAGTATACTTGACTTATACTTCTTATAAGTCTAAATATATTTTAGCTATAATTGTGCTCCTAGAATCCGTGTTTTCATTGTTATACTGTAGGGGGCGCTAGTACACATCTTCTGTACAGAATTTCCAAAAAACACAAGTGAAGAAGAAACCGAAACAACAGATGCTTCCACATGTATTCTAACACGATCATCAGACATAAAACAGCATCAAACTCATTTCTCTCACATTGTCAAATGTCTGCGAGTTGATAAATAAAGAAACGACCTTCACAAGTCGCATTTCTTACAATTCCAACCAAATATGCATAGTAATATACATTTGAGAAAACTAACATTATGCAAATAGTAAGTATGAAGACATGTTAAAAAAAAAAATGAATTGTTGGCTGTTGAATTGATTCATCACATTTTAAAATTTAGTTTTTACATAGACTGTTCAAGCAAGTATGTACACATTTGATATACAGACATTTTATAATTTCTTAATTGGGATAAATAATACAAATGCGCTTTCTACATTCCTAATATCTTAAGCTGAGTGTTGTTCATTTTGAGCTGCAGTTGTTTTTAGCAGAATTACATTTCAGACAAAATTGTTTGTTCTTCATCATCGCTACATTAAACTGACAGTTCACCCAAAAATGATTTAGAAATTGTTAAGAGACTAAAAAGACTGATTCATCAAGTGTGGATTAGACAGAAATACATGCACCTTGATATGGCATCATGTTAAGACAATTTATGACCATCTGTATAATACACACATTCACATTATTTAAAAATGTAAACATGAACAATAATCAAAACGTCAGCACGGGAATCTAGTTGTCAGTAAACCAACCCACAGAACGAACCACCCTGACATTTAAAAAAAAAACATGTTCTGACATTTAAACCAATTTCCTTTTTGAATAAATAAATCACTCTCAGAATATCTCACTGCTCTCCAAACACAAACAGCTAAAACACCCTGAAGAACATGGTGTGTGTGGTGCACAATTATTTACTATTTTTGGTCTTTCATTTCTTTCAATCCCCTCACTAATTTTTAAGTCATAAAAAGACATCATATAAATAGAAAAAACAAAAACACATTTTATAAACACTAGGGAACGCAAGTGCATATCATGGCATCAGGAAAATTTAAGTAACTTTCAAGTAAATTTTAAGTGACAGTGTCGAAATGGCGAAGCGACAAAGTCTAGACAAACAGTTGAACTCTATGCAAATTAGCAACAAATACGATGCGGCAGCTGCCAATGGGAGCGCAGACAGTAACGCCCACATGATCTGGTTTAGAAAACTGAAAAAAGTACATAAAAATACAATAAATAAAACAAAGTATCATTCCATTTTAATACTAAAAATGAACATGCTGAAGGAAACCATATACACAAACTGCAGTAGTGCATAAAGAATCACATAAAACTGCTCATTATGAGCATTTACTTCTGCAAATTACTTCATTTACTTCCCACATCACATCGCTCCTGTTGGCTCAAATCACTATAAATCCCCGTCACCATGAATGCACCTTTACAAAGCATCTTATCTAGACGCAACTAACAACTGACAAGTCATTTTCAGTCCCTGGTTTTTATGCTTTGTTATGCTGGATAGCTCTGCCCACCGTGCAGTCTCATTGGTTTAAAATCCCGCTCCACACAGCTGTATAATAAACATCAAATATATTCTGATCGCTTAACATTTTCGCTTTTAGTGTTGACATTTAAGTAAACATCCTATGTTGGCTTTTTAAACCCAAAAACATCAATTCATTGAAAGCAATCGAGTTCCAACACTGGAGATTCATTCAAATATTACAGACAAGACAGCATGAAGCCTTTAATATGTTTGACGCTTTAATGATTTTAATATTAAAATGTATTGATTAGTACAAACGACTAAATCAAAAGTGTCAAATTAAAGTTCAGACTTCCTGCAAAGTGATGTCACTTCCTGTGATGATGCCGTGTTCGGTGAGATTATGTGAACTAGTGCACACATTTACAGTAATTACCGCACCTCAATCAGATATGTTCTGTGAGCATATTTGGTTTGAACTTTACAATTCTTGTCAATGTGAGAATGCACCAACAGGAAAGGATGCTGGCCGTGGTTTGCGGTGAAATGATGATGTGAGAACTGAGACCAACTTCAGCGGAGGTCGAGGCCCTGAGTGTTAAAGCAGGTTAAAGGCTTCTCTTTCACTTTTGCATACCCTTTACACACTGTCCACACGCACAGGTGACTGGTGCATGCTGTGGTGTCCTGAACAAGCCAAAGAAACTGACACAGGACACGATCCACGATCCACGCTAGTAGATAGTTACATACGGTGTACTTGGAAAGGTCACCGGGAGGAAGGTGACTAAGTCCTCACTCAAGGCCAAAAGTGCTGGTCTCTTCCACAGCGATCAGCAGTTTCTCATACAGCATCGTGTAGGATGGATACGGTGGGAGATCCAGACGGTTAAAGCATGTGTGCGCCCTGAGAAACCAGACATGACACATCAGCAGCCTGACTGACAGTCTCATGTGGAATCAAGACCAATCTGTTTTTCAGGTCTGGTCATGTTTTTAACATTGATGACAATAATCAAAATAAATATTCATGATCATTTTAAATCATTTATATTATTAAGGTTTACTTTAAATTATATTAATAACTTCTATTCATTTTTAATTATTTATTTTATTACAACAGTTAATTTTAAATTATTTAAATGATTATTCAATGTTAATTTTAATCATATAATAATATAAATAATTTAAAATGTATTAATAATATTAATATTACTAAAAC